TGTTTTTCTCTCCTCATATCCAGTTTTCGAACTGCAGTTACGTAGTCTTTATAATTAACAATAAACAAATTTTTAAAAAACGTAGAAATACAATGAGGCACATCTCATCCTATCACATTGTACTTCTAGGGATTAGGTAATTATTGAAATACATTTTAAAGTAAATTTTCATCATGCTAGTATTTCTAATCTGTGGAGTTAGAATTGTTCAGAGATAACAGATATATCCCATTTACAAATTTGTTTAATACTTAACTCATATTTGGCAAACAACAAAAAAAATTATCTATCCAAATTGCTGAAATACTGGATATTATCTACATATTCAAAGCTGTTTGGTGTTGGATTATGCATATAACTTGGTTGTATTAAAAAAAAAACTTTCTTCTTTGATTTGGACTTAGAACAAAATTTGGCCTAGAACAAAATTCTTTAGCGGTATTTGTTTAATAGAAATTGTTGTTGTTTCTTGCCTTGCCTAAATAGTTCTTCTACTATAAGTATATGCTCTCAAATATTGGGTATACCTGTAATTGGCTTCATAAAAGTTGGAAAGGCTGATTTATAATTTATTTATTTTGTTTTTTTATGAATGTTTGAATGGGTAGATATTTGGAGATAGGAGGTTGATTTTTCTCAAAATCAGCCTCTGGGTTTACAGGGATATTTGGGAATTTGGGATGAGCCAATTTTGTAGAGCTGCTTTCACTGAATGACAAAAAGTTGTTGTCTGAAATTATTTTATGTGTGGAAAAAATAACATACCAGCAAATTAAACTCAAAAACAATCTCACACCCCCAAAAGAACATGTTTTAGTTAATTTTTTTTAAAGTACTAACATTTTTTTTAATGCTGGGGTTTGAACCCAGGGATGCTTTACCACTGAGGTCATTCTCATTCCTCTTTATTTTTTAATTTTAAGACAGTGTCTCACCCAGTTGCCTGGCTTACCTTGAACCTGTGATCCTCCTGCCTCAGCCTCCCAAGTCACTGGGATTACAGATATGCACCGCCACACCCAGCTATTGACAAATTTTTTGAAGGTTGGATTGCTTTGGGAAACTAATTTCATTTTTAGGACACAGTAATCACCTCCCAGATAATCTTTCTAAACCTGGTTTTCTTGAGAATCAGTTCTTTTTATTCTTATAGACCCAACATTCTCACTGGGAGTTTGCCCTCCAAAAGTAGTTCCAGGGAAAAATTAAGACACAAAGCATTTTATTCAACTTTATGATCTATTAGGGGAAAAAAGGGTTTTTTTTAACTAAATCTTTTTTTTTTTTTTTTTTTTAAAGAGAGAGTGAGAGAGAGGAGAGAGAGAAAGAATCTTTAATATTTATTTTTTAGTTGGCGGACACAACATCCTTGTTGGTATGTGGTGCTGAGGATCGAACCCCGGCCGCACGCATGGCAGGCGAGCGCGCTACTGCTTGAGCCACATCCCCAGCCCACTAAATCTTTTCTTAAAAAAATAATAATAATTTCAAGTGTAAAGTTCCAGTGGTGGAAAGCCTAGCTAGCTTGTCTTTTGATGAAGTCTTTTGTAAAATAGTTTATCTGATATGGTGTCCAGCTTCAAAAAGTCTGGGACCATAGTGTATAGAAAGCCCATATTACAGGCAGTAGAGGAAAAAACATTGCTGGGGCACTGTGCAAACTTCTGTCTAAAACAGGAGCACAGACTAATCTCTGGGCCAGCTGTTGTTCAGCCTTGCTTGATCACACATAGCAATTATGTGGATTTGGGGTAATGAGGCTACTGCCAGCCAACTGGTGAACATTTTATCACATTTACTTTTCAAAGAAGGCAGAATTTTTATACCAGAGCAAATTAGAGAATGTGGCTTTGTTTTTGCCTATTTAATAAATTATTTTGGCCTTTTAACCTCCTGTGATTTTTATTCTGAGCTGCTGTCTACTTTATAAGCACTGACCTAGAAATGGTACTTTGTGCTTTGGACTATGGGTAGGATGTTTTGACTTTGAAACGTTTATGAAAACAGATTCAGACCCAAGACATGATGTTAGGCTGAGGCCGACTCACTGTCAAAGATGGGTTAAAAGCAAGCCATCTTCAACTCTGCAATTTTACCATTTACTTTTCACTCTTTGGCATCTGTCAGTGAATGTTTTCTTCCTGAGGCAGAGGAGGAAAATTCCTTTTAATCCCCTGGTATTCAGTATCATCACCACTCTCGTGTTTGGTATCTATTTGTCACTTTGAAGAAGATAATTCTCTGGTATTTTCACCCCACCGTTTAGATAAAAGGTTGGCACTTATGCACTGGGGAGATAAAGCAATTCCCTGCAAAATTCAGGCAAACATCATTTTTGTTTGATTTCATCTGATGAGTGCTTTGGGCTATGGATTTTGAAGATATTACCACAAGACCATTTTCTAAACCACCTTATGTTCTGTTTAAATGTGCTGTTTAGTGTTATATTCTGTGGAAGCTTAAGATCCCTTGAGGGGAGAGAATAATCAAAGCAGTCTAATTCTATACCATTTGATCAAGGGATTAATTACTTGTATTTAAAATTCTAGATAATTGAATGGAAAGGAAAAGTTGAAGCCATTTAGAAGTCAGCTGGTGGGGAAACCACAGATGGGGGATTTGGGGAATATCAAGAGGTTTCTTGAGTAGAAACAGCTGCAATGCCTTTTAAACAGCAGAATCGAATTATACCGGGAATGTTGCTATGCCATGAGGTATTATTTCTACATTCTAAAATATATTCCATTGCTTGAATATTTGTGTACAGCCACAGAGTAGAACCTTACATGAATGGAGCATTAGAAACAACAGCATAAACTATAATAGTATTTTTTAAAATTAAACTAAATTTGTATTTTGTTTTTGGCACCAGGGATTGAACTCCTGGGCACTGGACCACTGAGCCACATCCCCAACACTATTTTGTATTTTATTTAGAGACAGGGTCTCATTGAGTTGCTTAGCACCTTACTTTTGCTGAGGCTGGCTTTGAACTCACAATCTTCCTGCCTCGGCCTCCTGAGCCCCTGGGATTAGAGGCATGCACCACCACCCCAGCCTAAATTTATTTTTAACTGATACATAAAAACATAAAAATTGCGCATATTAAATGGTACCTTGTGATGCTTTCATACATGCACACATTGTGCAATGTTTAAATCACATTAAACATATCTATCTCCTCAATCACTTATCATTTCTGTATAGTAAAAACATTCAAAATCTTTTCTTCTGAAAAAAAAAATCTTTTCTTCTGGCTTTTTGAAATACATAGTATATTATTGTCACCTATTGTCACCCTACCATACAAAAGCAAAATGGAACTTCTTGCTTCTAAATGCAGCTTAGTACCTATTGCACAACCATTCCCCATCCTTCCCTTTCTCCCACTCTACCAGGTGATTACCACCAGCCTACTCTCAACGATTATGAAGTCAAATTTTTTCAATTCCAGATACAAGTGAGATTATATAGTACTTGTCTTTCTGCGCCTAACTTATTTCAAAACGACCTCCAGGTCCATCCACATTTTAAATGACAGAATTTTATCTTTGCTATGGCTGAATAGTATTGCATATTCAGCCATACAAATATGACACATAGGTGGTATATATGCAGTACCTATGTGGTACACATCCACCACATTTTCTTTGTCCTATAATAGTACTTTCTAAGCCTATACCAAAGTTTTAAGTAATGAGTACTTAGGATTTGGCAGGCACTATTGTTAAGTTCATTTAATTGGCATTGTTTTATATATATATATACTAATATATACACACATATAAATACATATATATATACATATATATGTAATATATATATACCATATATATTAGTTCATTTAATTCACAAAAACTTATAAAATAATTACTATTGTTATCTTTATTTTTTCTTTTTTAAATTCAAGGCTTGATGTACTTGCAGAAAAATAAATTTAGACAATGACTACAAGCTATAGACCAGTTTCTCAAGCCCCTTCCTAGAGAAGTTCCCATTCCTGAACCATCTTCAGACATAATCATTGTTCTGATTTTGATCACCAGACATTGTTTAACCCTGTTACAGATTAATATAAATAGAACCATGCATCATGTTTTATTTTGTATCTGGCTCCTTTTTTTCAAATTAATTTTTAAGACTAATATATATGAATTTACCACAATTTGTTTCTAAGCCTATACCAAAGTTTTGAGTAATGAGTACTTAGGATTTGGCAGGAACTATTGTTAGATTCATTTAATTTGCACTGTAATATATATATATATATATATATATATATATATATATATATATATATCATATTATATACCATATATATTAGTTCATTTAATTCACAAAAACTTATAAAATAATTACTATTGTTATCTTGATTTTTTTTTCTTTTTTAAATTTGAGGCTTGATGTACTTGAGCTATTATAAGTTAAAATAATGTTAATACTCTTGTTCAAATATTCTTTTGGGCATATGATTTCATTTCTTTTGATCTAGGATTAAAATATTTTGTCATTGTTTAGGTGTTTGTTCTATGTTAAATGAAACTAAGATATTTTCCCAAAATGGTTGTGTTATTTAACATTTGCACCAACAATATGTGAGAATTCTAGTTGCTTCATATCTTCACTAACATTTGGTTTTGTCAGTCTTTTAAAATTAATTTATTCTAGTGGGTTTGTAGTGGCACATCACTTTTGTTTTAATTCATATTTCCCTTACGAATAGTAATATTGAGTGTATGTTGATTTGCTTACTGACCACTAGGCTATTCTTCCATTGGGAAGTGTAAAAGTCCTTTTGCCTATTTTTAATTAAGGCTGTTTGTATTATTATTATTAGTAGTAGTAGTAGTAGTAGTAGTAGTAGTAGTACTAGTAGTAGTAGTAGTAGTAGTAGTAGTAGTAGTAGTAGTAAACAAGGAAGGTTATTTCTATGTTATGGATGCAAGTTCTTTCTTAGAATATGTAATGTGAGCTCTCCAGGCTCAGGCAGTCATGGCCTCATGGCTAAATGCGCTAAGAAGGTTAGAATCGTAGGTAAATATGGGACCTGCTACAGTGCCTCCTTCCAGAAAATGGCAAAGAAAACTGAAATCAGCCAGCATGCCATGTACACTTTCTCCTTTGGTGGCAAAACCAAGATGAAGAGACAGGCTGTGGGGATCTGGCACTGTGGTCCCTGCATGAAAACAGTGGCTGGTGGTGTCGGTATCTACATCACCACTTCTGCCAGCACAGTTAAGTCTGCAATCAGAAGGCTGAAGGAATTGGAAGACCAGTAGAAGTTCTACTATTTAAGACATCCTAAGCCTATAATAAATAGGTTAATTTGTATAACAATATTATGGTTTGTTGTTAATTGTATTAATTGGATGTTCTGATGTGCACTGTGTTAATATTGCCCTTTCTAAAGAGATTTGTAAATTGGAGTCCTTCTCATTTGAATTGGAAAAATTTGCTGAGATGAGTTATTGTAATTCAGTCTTTTTTTTTCAGTAGTCAGATGATAATGACATGAAACTAAGTCTTACAGGTTAGGTATATGCTTAGATTTTCTTTTTTTTAATAACTGTTCAACTTCTCAGAAATGCATTGACATATTTTGCCAAATTTATTTTAAAGGTAAAATATGCTAAAATATACAAAGGATATACATTTTAAAAAAGAATATGTAATGTGAATATTTTATTCTTAAATGTAGCTCAGATATTCGTTACCTTAATGGAATATTTTAATGAGTGAAAGTTTTTTACTTCAATGGGGCCTAATTAACCATTTATTTATTTTTTATTTATATACATGACAGTAGAATGTATTTTGACATATTATGCATACATGGAGTACAACCCATTCCAATAAGGTTTCCATTGTTGTGGTTGTACATGATGTGGAGTTACACTGGTCATGTATTCATATATGAACATAGGAAAGCTATGTCCTTTTCATCCTATTGTCTTTCCTATTCCCATCCCCCTCCTTTCCCTTCATTCCCCTTTGTCTAATCCAATGAACTTCTTCTCTTTCTTTCCTCACCCTCTGTTGTGGGTTAGTATCCACACATCAGAAAGAACATTCCACTTGTCGTTTTGGGGGATTGGATTATTTCACTTAGCATGATATTCTTCAGTTCCATCCATTTATTGGCAAATGCCATAATTTCATTCTTCTTTATGGCTGAGTAACATTCTATGTATATATATGCCACATTTTCTTTATCCATTTATTTGTTGAAGGACATCTAGATTCATTCCACAGCTTGGCTATTGTAAATTGAGCTGCTATAAGCATAGATGTGGCTGCCTCACTGTTCTATGCTAATTTTTAAGTCCTTTGGGTATAAACCAAGGAGTGGGATAACTGGATCAAATGGTGGTTCCATTCCAAGTTTTCTAAGGAATCTCCATGCTGCTTTCCATAATTGTTGCACCTATTTGCAATGCTACCAGCAATGTATGAGATAATCTTTTCCCCCACTTCCTCACCAAATTTATTGTTACTTGTATTGTTGCCATTCTGATTAGAGTGAGATGAAATCTCAGTGTAGTTTTAATTTGTATTTCTCTAATTGCTAGAGATGTTGAGCATTTTTTCATGTATTTGTTGACCATTTGTATTTCTTCTGTGAAGTGGCTGTTCAGTCCCTTTGCCCATTATTGATTGATTAACTATTCATTTTCTTGATGAATGTTTTCAGTGTCCTGTATAAGAAAACTTTTTCTATACCAAAATGATGAAGATATCCTCCAACATTTTGTTTTAGATTTTTTTATAGATTTAACATTTATGTTTTGGATTGTGATTCATCATAATTTATTTTTTTCCTTTTCTGTGTAGGGTGTCAGGTCAGTGTCAATATCCTTTTTAAAAATATGTAGACATTCAGTTGCTCTAGCATCATTCAGGAAAAAAAAAAAGAGCTTTCCTCCATTAAATTGTTTTATTCCTGGTTTTAGTCAGCTTTTTTTCACTGCTGTGACTAAAAGGATCTGACCAGAACAATTGTAGAGGGGAAAATTTTTATTTGAGGCTCAGGGTTTCAGAAACCTTAGCCCATAGAAGGCTAGCTCCATTCCTTGCAGCTCCATGTGAGCTGAACACATGGTGGGAAAGTGTGGCGGAGAGAAGCAGCTCACATGATGATAAGAAAGCAGAGAGAGAGGTCTCCACTTGCCAGATACAAATGTATACCAATGCTTTTTGGTTCCTAATTTCATAAGCCCACAGGTATTTACATTTTTATACTCTTGAAGATGCCTGTTGCATCCTTGAAATGAATCTCCCTTCCCTGGAACTAGCTTGAAGAGCTTCCTTACAATAAATATTACCTAATTCTTATTGTCCTTTAACAAAAATGCAAAACCAAAAAAAAAAAAAAAAACAAAAACAAAAATCCTCAGAACAAACTGGCCTAAATCTTAAGTAAGTTTATTCAACATAATTGAAAATAAGCCAGATATGAGCAGATATTTTTATATTGCTTCACTGATTAGGAAATGGGGGCCAACAGATATATGAAAAAGTGTTCCACATCTTTAGCAATGAGAAAATTGAAAATCAAAATTACACTGAGATTTCATCTCCAATGAGAATAGCAGCCATCGATAATAAAAAATGCTGAATAGGATGTAAGGCAAAAAGAACAATTCTACACAGTTTGTGGCACTGTAGATTAATATAGGCACTATGGAAATCAGCATGGAGGTTCCTCAAAAGACTAGGATTGGAACTACCTTATGACCCAGCTATACCACTCCTCAGTATTTATCCTAAACAATTCAAGTCAGCATGCTATAGCAATGCATGCATACCCATTTTTATAGCAGTACAGTTCATAATAACCAAATTATGAAACCAACCTAGGTGGCTGTCAATGGCTGAATGGATAAATAAAATGTGCAATGCATACACAATGGAGCTTTATTCGGGTCATAAAGAAGAATGAAATTATGTCATTTGAAGAAAAATGGATGGAACATGTGAATATTATGTTACCTGAAATAAGCCAAACTCAAAAGTCAAGGGTCATGTGTTTTCTCTTACATGTGGAAACTAAAGAGGAAATAAGAAAAAGAAGGGTGTGTTTGGGGAGGTGAGTCTCATACAAAACAAGGGAGATCAGCAAATAAAGGAAAGGGACCAGGAGGAGGGAGGAGGGAAGAGAAAGGGAAAATACTGGGATATGATGCTGACCGAATTATATTGCTATATCATGTGCATGTATGAATATGTAACAACTGTCATGTATATAATGCACCAATAAAACATATGAAAAAAATAAATTGTGTAGGAAAGACAGTCGAATGAGATGGACAACATTACCCTAAGTTCATGTACAAAGACAAAAAAAAATTGGATCAAGAATCTGATAATACAAAATAAAAATCAGCATATCAAATCAAACTCAATAAAGTAAAATAAAGAGGGATCTGCTATTTGGTTTTTGAGTAGCACATGTTAATTAACTTTTCTTTCTGTTGGGCCAAGAGTTAATATTAAAATAACAATGGCTCTATTGTACTGTCTTCTATTCCTTGTGTGATAACTGTATAATCTTCACTAAAGTGGACTTCTGTGTTTACTCTTGTGCCCTCATTAGGCCTAGATATTGTCAAATGTTAATGTACCGAAACAGAATTTAAAGTAATTTCTTTTCTTTACCTTATTGCATTTCCAAGCACTGGATATAAGGAGTGTTAATTGGCTACTTGCACCTACAAGACCTCCCCTAGGAGTACCACATCAACTGGTTCTAAATCTAAAATCTAACTGCCACTTGGAAGTTTTCCATACCCTGACTCACAGAACATCTCATTCTATCTTCAGTGGGAGAAGGAGAAAGCATTATCCCTATTTTCAGAGCAGGAAATAAAGGTCAGGAAAGTGCAGTGAATTATTATCTATCAACTGCAGTCATGAATTACCACAGCTTTTGTGGTCAAAGGATACAAATGTATTATGTTGCATTTGTGCAGGCCACAAATCCAACATGGTCTCACCAGGCTAAAAGTAAGCTGTTGGCAGGGCTGTTTTCCTTTTTGGAGGGTCAGCAAAACTCGTTTTCTTGCCCACCCAGAGGGTCAGGAAAACACCTGTCCAACATTTGGCAGGAGATCCCCATTTTCTTACTGTCGTCAGAGGACCATTCTTGGCTCCTAGAAGCCAGTCTCACTCCTTGGCTCCTAGAAGCCAGTCTCAGTCCTTGGCTCATGATCCCTTCCTCCTTCTTCAAAGCCAGCCACAGGACATATCCTGTCACAGTCTGAATGCCACCTCCTTCTTCTATCATCTCATCTCTCTAACCAGTTGGGAAACATTCTCTTCTTCTAAGGGCTCATGTTATTAGACTGAGCTTACCCGGATAATAGGGGCTACTCTCCTCATCTCAAGGTCTTTAACCTTAATCACAACTCCAAAGTCCCTATTGCCACGTAATATACCATATATAATCTGTGAATATATAATTCACAGATTCTGGGAATTAGAGCATGCACATTTTTGTAGGAACCATTATTCTGCCTACTACATTGAATAAAGGCTAATTCAGTTCTCCAAGATTTCCTTCCAGGCCCCAAAATTAGAAGTTAGAAAAGATTATGAAGTAAGATTTTTAAATCTCCTCTTCAACACCACTCAAATAACTAAATATTGATAACATTTTTAAAGTATCCTATGAATTTGGAAGCCAGAAAAATCAAACTAAATATCTCTTGAGGTCTCCTGTCAGCAAGATGAAAAATCTGATTATAATTTTTTCCAAGTCATACTTCAAGTCAGTGTTTAAAACAAGAAAACTCATAGTACTTAATTGCACTGTTTTAAGAAGAATAAAACTGTTTTCTTGTCTCTATATCCTAATCGCTGCAAATAATATTTCATTTTTCCCACTGCCCTCTCTAAATTAAAAAAATCCATCAAAATAGTTTAGACAGTGCATGTATAGTCCCTTTAATTTTCAAAAAGAAACTCTTTTTGTTTTAAAGCTAACCTGTCTATGCAGAATTTTACTGCCACAGCTGGAGTGGATTCTCTCTGGTGTGTATATGAAAATCTTTGTATATTGTACCCATGCCTATATGTCTATCCAAATGGCTTTTTTCTTTATTTCCTTATCCCCTAATCTTCCAATCTTTCCCTCCCAAGCCCCTGCCAGCCAAGCCATTTGCCATTTTCTGTACATCGCATCTTGGGTTTATTTTTCTACATGGAGATGATGATCTTCACTAACTGAAGTTCAGCCCTTCGGGAATGTTTGTCCTTCTGAGCCATCTCTGAATGCAACTAT